CGTGGTCCAGTGGAAAAAACTTGGGCTTCAATGACACTGAGACAAGTACGGTAGAGTGAGGTTAATACCTGGATGGGTGACCTGAAACTTTTTCCTATTCGAGCCTGTATTTTTTTTCTTTAAATTTTCAAGCCACTCAATCGCACCCGCTGATCTGAATAAAAAATGCTAACCAATCAGAATCAAGAAAAATTGCAAGAAGTGTCACTTTTACTCAGTGAATTATAGGTTTCCAGGTCACCAAACGAAAAAAAGAAAAAAAGTGTTGCTAATAATTAAGTGCTTGACAACAACAGTGACCTAGTATCAATTCGATTTATACCCATTTTATTGCAGTGGTGGGCATGTTTTAATTTTTTTGCTGGTAGGTTTTCGCAGGCTTTGACAACTCAAGTTTGCACAACCTCGTCCCAAAGACCCTTTCCTCAACGTGAGAGGGCCCTGGGGACGAGGTTGCAGTTTTGCAGTGATGCCGTTCTATGTATACTATTTTAGATCCCCTGGCGGACCTTTCGATCCACTTTTTGTTACATATTTGTTACATATTTGTTATAGATCGATAAAGTTGAAAATTTTCAACCTTTGTTTAGCTTTGCCATACATTAAATTGAGACATATTTACCGAACATAGCATAAGATTTTCTTTCTCTGTACATCCTGTGCTTCTAARAGTCTAAATATGTCATGTCACCGAGCATATTCTTTACCGGAAAAAAATCGARTTCCTCACGGGTGTTTTGGATTAATTTCCGTCTAAATTTTTTCTGGTATTTATAAGAGGAATCATAGTGCATGAAGCTCAATTTGTAGAGAATATATCAGTGATTAAGAACACATATATCAGTGATTAAGAACACATATATCAGTGATTAAGGACACATATATCATTGATTAAGAACACACATTTACTAGAATCAAACAGCTTACCTCTAAGTGTTGTTGTATTCTGCGTAGGCATTGTACTTATCAGTCATCGAAGTATATCGTACGCTCCAAGGAATTTTTTATAGTATTGATATATAATAGAATTCATAAATTGGATATATCGTTTAGGTTCAGAAGTAACTTTGATCGGTGTTGTCGTTTTTGACAGTCACGTGAAGGTCGTGTCGTGTCCTGACGGCGAGTGCATGGCACCACGCCCCTTCACAATATTATTATTGCCCATCAGTCAACTCACAGCAAGATACGTTGAAGGTAGTTGTCAACAGTTTAAAATTTTCACTAACTTCGACACCTCATGGAATGTTCATTGCGACCTGACTTGAAATATTGTTGAGCAATTATAAAAAAGTACATTGCAGTCGCACCGACAGGGGATGTTACACTGGTCAATGTTCCTTGCAAAACTTGTCTCGCGCGCAGTGACAGCGTCGCTGAAATTGAAGCTGCCTATGCGACAACACCCCTTCAGCAACTTGCGTTACAACTGCTAAGCCATTTTTTATCGCGCAACAAAATGGTGAGACAATTCGTAAGACCACTTGTCACAATTTGATTGTTTTCGGTTTTTTTAAATATCGTAATGATTATCACCGACGGACTCAAATCACCAAATTAATGCAGCTTCACTATAACGTATCTCTCAACAACACACACCTGAATTCTTGAAGAATACTTCTTGATACATCATTGACTACGTGCAAGTTTTTTTTATCTGTTGTTGGTCTATAATTTGTCCCAACAAAGCGATGTTTTCTGTGCATTTCCGAGTAGTTTTGTTTTGAAATCAAGCGGGAGTCCTGTGTTGTGTACACGTACGTACGTATGCACGGACGAAAAGGGACGTAGTAGTCTAAAATTTTCAGTCTGAAGCAAACTTTTTTATAATTGCATCATATTCTTGGTTGGCAACGAATCTCAGGGGGGATGAAATATCGTTAGACAAAGCCGCAATGTTGCAAGACGTCACAATAATCTATTGAATAATCTTTAATACATCAATTTGTAAATACTTCAATCGTGACCTAGAGACCTTTCCTTTAGGCGTAATGTTATCCCATTTCAGACCACGTGTCATTTCCTAGAGTATTATTTCTTTATTTAACGGGTGTGCACAAGAAGACACATGAATATAGATACAACTCACACAAAGAAGCTTATTCTCAAGAGAATGCCACGTGGTCTGAAATAGGAAAACATTATGCAGAGGCTAAAGACCTCTTTCAAAACATTCTTTTACATTTCATTTTCTTTCACTTGTAGCAGCTGTTGATAGCCTCTTGTCTTGTTTTTCATCCAGTAAACCATCGGAAATTAATAATGTGGGAGTCTCCCTATTCTTTATCGTAGTTCTGTTACTAAATCTCAACACTTCAGATTCTTTCTGCTCCTTAGTCACCATATTTATAGAGCTCATAGTTGGTGTATCATCAGACGTGGAATTGATTTTTTCAGTTCCTTCTGATTGCGAAGGTTTATCTTTATYAAATGGAATAACCAATTTTCGCAGCCTTTCTACCTCAGTGTATAGTTCGTCATAGGCCTAGAATTCAACATGAACAAGGTTTAGAAATTATTAGCATTTTCATAATAGAMCAAAGTTTATAAATTTGTTCGCTTAAATAGAGGCTTTGCACCATTAAAGGACTGCTCGATGACCAATGCTTTTATAAMATATCAAAAGTGTAAAAAAGTCTTCGTTAATCGAGAAAAATTCGAAATGACGAAGTCTCCGACGTCTCGTGCTTCTCCTTACACTTCTTTCGTGTTTACGTCACTTCCTGCGTGCTTTATTACTGAACTGAGCACGGAAAAAGCTGTTTTATTTGTTAAGCAAAACAATAAAAAAATATTTTTTTTACCAAAAAGAAATCCAAATTTTGTTCTAACGAAATCTTTATTACATGGCGCACGCTACTCAATCACGTCAGCGTGCACATCCATTTCTGAATGCACACTCGCGCACGCAAATTAACCAATCAGAGCGCGCGTTATATTGTGGCTAATTTATTACACGTGATGGCAGCCATAACAGGAGGCACAACGAAAGTCCTTTTTCCCTGGGAAACTGAATTCTTCCTCATGTAAATCACATTAGACCAGATTCAATTGTTCCTGCCTCCTGCCTCCTGCCATGGCTGCCATCACGTGATGGTGCAACGCCCCTATTGTCAGGACACTTGAGAAGTGTAGTCTAAGAAGCACGCACTCTGCTACGCATCATGCTTGTCGTAACACTTTTCTCGCGTTCTGCTAACCCCCACTTGCTTTATAATTGCAGACAAACATGTGCGCGCGTTTTCTATTTCTTCGCCAAAAGTAACTCACTTACTTGAGAACATTGCTCAATACTAAAGAATTTCCTTTTCTCTTTGACAGTTTCGCCTTTCATCATATTTCCACGATCCTTCTTGTCTTTGCTCCACAGTTTTCCCACTTGTGTCTTGTCGTCTGAGGCAACGAGTCCTTCATTGATGAATAGTTTTCGTCTTCGTTTGTCGTAGCCCTGTAACGTAAGYTCTTCTCTCCATAGATATTCTTCTATTGATTCCCACTGAGTCTGTCCTTTTGGACTTAGTACTGGATATACTGTGAAAAMGCGATAGGTTGATACAATTTTTGTGTATCTTTTTAGGGAAGCCAAGAAGTGCAAAAATAAATATAATAAATCACTTTTATTTAAGTGTCTAGTCGTTCTAGCGCTTTCGCACTAATTGGGGACACTTTTCGCTCACACTCACTACCACTACATTTAATATTCTATGCACACAACGTTCAACTCACATGTTGATTTTTACGKAGGGAGGAAACCGGAGAACCCGGAGAAAACCCCTCGTAGCATAGGAGAGAACAACACATCAAACAAACTCAATTCACATGTGGTGACCGCAGGGCTCGAACCAGCAACCCAACCCATTGGACTCACARCGKTGAAAGACGACGCGTTAGCCGYGAACGCCGCCCTTGCTACCCTACTGTGCGCTACTAAAGCGCCTTCTTTCACTGATAGGGTCATARGTTTGACTCTTGGAGCTGCTTTCATATATGAGTATAGTTGCTTGTTGGTCCTCCCCTGTGCTTTGTATCGCTGGATGTCAATCAGCTGATACAAGTCTTTGAATCTCATTATCTGCTCCAAATGGTGTTCAAGCACTGACCACCATGTGCTGTCAACCAGAAAGAATTCTATTGAACATTTGTGATTCAGCTGATGAAYATTCCGCACAAGACAGGGAATGACATCGAGTGAAACCTGGCAATATTCGGTGTAGAGGCTTTGCACCATCACATGATGGCAGCCATGACAGGAGGTACAACAATAGAGTCTTTTTCCCCTGGGAAACTGAATTCTTTCYGATGTACATCAGATTAGACCAGATTCAATTGTTCCTGCCTCCTGTCATGGCTGACATCACTTGATGGTGCAAAGGCTCTATAGGCAGCAACAGGAAACCTTACAGTGTATATTCAAACCCCAATCCTCATTCACCACCTTCCTCCCCACCCCTTCCCCATGACTTACCAAGCATGATGTCTACAGTAGATAGTTTTCTAGACAGTCTTCTTTTTTAGGCAGAAACACGAAACCTAACATACAAACCCCAATCCTCATAAAAAGACTTACCAAGCATAGCATCTAGAGGACAAGCTAAAGGAGTTTGGAAATCCATCTGGTATTGACAGGTTCTTGGTTCACTGACTGACAGTATTCCATGTTCATTACCACATCGAAAATATACCTTAGAGGGAAAGAAAGGGTTAGCATTGCTTCATCCATCCATCTCTCCTTCTATCTTTCCTTCCATCCATTCACAATAGAAAGCTTTAACTATGGAGAACTATTTTCCCATTTCAGACTGCATGCCATTCTCTAGAGTATTATTTCTTTGTTTAATGGTTGAGAAGACACACATGAATACAGATACAACTCAAACAATAGTCGTTAGTCCCTTTCCTAATTCTATGTACACTCAATAAGAATCGTTGTCGGGTTCAGAAGCACAGAACATAGGAGCTGAGACTGATCGGGTCGCCAGTCAGAGCMTGCATCTTATTAAYGTACTTCCCATGTGCCATTTCAGTCTCAGCTTCTATGTTCTATGTTTCTGAACCTGACAACGATTCTTCAATCCACCTTTTCGGTGCTAGCCGTCACGTGGTATAAATTGYGTTGSATTGTTACGGTCACCAAGAAGTTCGGACATTGTTCTCGGATTTCCGTACAAATGTACTGACTTTAAATGAACTATTTACAAGTAAAGTAAAATATCATTTTTCTATCTTGATTGAAGCTTTTCTTATTGCTGTTAAGAGAGCTAACTAAAGAAATCTATCTAAATTTTCTCTTTAAACTCAGTGAATTTGTATGGGAATCCGAGAACGATGTCCGAACTTTTTGGTGACCGTAACACAATCGATCAAAGTGTTTACGACGTGACTGCTATCGCCAAAAAGGTGAATTGAGTGTATACCAGTTTTTGTTTCATATACCTTGGTCTGCCTTGGGTTGCTACCAGGACACAAGTCACCTTCATCCATCAACATGCTATCAAATGTATTGTTCACTATGACCCATCCTTGAAACACCCTACAACAGCAAACACACCAACATCACAACTTTAATGTCGTAATGATAAGAATAAGTGAAAAAATAGGTCCTACATGTATCTGAGTTTGATACATTCTCCTACACAAAGCTTTYTCATCTTTCAAAWGAAAAATCAAAGGCTCTGGTAACACATAAATCGACCGTTAGTTTGATTGGTTTATTAATAAATTTTTTGCATAATCATCTGTTYCCAATTCGCTAATTTTACAGTCAACAGTTGAAATTTGAATACTTTAGCACACGTATGATGGTCTCGCGAAATCACTGAATGTTAATCACAGACAAATAAACATTACTGTTCCATAAACAATGTATAAACAAGCTTGGTTGTTTTTCTTGTAAAGAAAAAAAATGGTTTGATTTTATACCGGAAGTCAGAATAAGTGGAGCATGTGCATATCTGATGACCTAGAATCTGGGTCTTCCAGTTTGTGTGTTACCAAAGCCTTTGATATTTTGGTGAGAAGGGTCAGGGTACGAGAATGAGTTCGACAAACATGATGTATTATCAATGGTCTTCATTGGGTACAAAGGGTAATTACTTACAGGCCTGTAGAACCTGTTGGCAATAATTTATTATGGCCTAGCTTTGTCCAACGGCACGAGGTACTGCAAGCTGAACAAAAGTTGTTTGTACCCAAGCTAGACCAGAATGCACTATGTTATARTTAGACTGTCCCTTACCCAAGTATTCCTGAAAAAGCATTCCATCTCACTGTCTGCTCTCTTTGTGTTATATTATGGAAAGGGCAGAGCTCATATTTATAGCTGAAAAAATATATACATTCAYGATGTAAGCTTAATATAAGCAGCCCATAATGACTTGATGGTGTGTCATATAGTATAATATTGGTCAGGATTTAAGTGTAAAGGAAATTTCTTACCCATTCTCAATAAATGAAAAGCACTTTCCATCAAGTACAGATAAATGTGGAGGYCCTGAAAGAAAATCAAATATACTTTGCAGCAATACAACATTTATTTAATAACAAATTAAATATTATTGATAGTTATATCACCCAAAGTAAGAGTGCATGGCACAGCTATTCAGAACAAAATGGAATTTAGCATATTACAGTGTAGTGTAGGCTTTGTGGAGGCAGCAAAACTGGAGAATCTGGAGAAAAACCCTTGAATCAAGTGAGATACCTAACAAAACTCTACTCACATGTGATGGCAAGTTCAGGAATTGAACCGGAGACCCCAGAAGTGAGAGGCAAACGCACTACAACTATGTCACCCTTTATTTAATTCATCTCTATACTATTTTCCTTATCTCGATCAGAAGTATAACTTGGCCACTTCAGAAGCAAGCAAAAGTCTGGGGCAAGTTTTGAATTTTAATCTAATTAGCCAAAGAGTTTCGTCATCTGATAAAGCACCTCAATATTAGTAAGTTTGTGAAATTAGACTACGTTTCGTTAAAAAGAACAGAGTTACAAGCTTTCAAAAGTCTGGAAAAAAATTCCTAATGAGATTAAAATTCAAAACTCATCTCAGTCTCTTGCTCGTTTCTAAAATGGCCAATTTTGATAGTCTTGAAAATAGTGTTATACCTGAGAAGGGAATTGGTTCGGTACGAGGTTCTAGCACCTGAAAAAAGAAATGACCAATTATTTGCTAAAGGAACTTAAGAGAAAACAGTGTATAATTCACAATGTAGTTCCAGAAATTATCCCCTCCCCCTGCACAGGGAAATTTGGAATTTCCGAGGGGTTACAAAATTACAGAGTTACAGAGTTTGTATGGAAGAAAATTGGAATTTCCAGGGGGGTGGGGTGGGAGTCTTTAATATATACTTAAATAATTTACATTGATTGCTCATATACCTTGGAGTGAATTGTTTGATGTTGTTGGTAGTATGTATTTCTGCAATTATAACAAAACAAAATAGTTTCTGTTKTTAAGAATTTTTTGGTTGATTATCTTTCTGACTCAGATGATGTTTTTCATACATGGACTGTATAGTGGCTGCAAGAGACACCAAATTGCTTTCAGTTTGACCTTGTTAAGATGCACCACTGTTTACATTGCTAAGCACTGATCGTGACAGCAGTTCTGACAGCAATACACTGCTGTCAATCAGATTATGGAAAGATACTGAACAATTTTTTGATTGACAGTAGTCTACTGCTCAATTTACCTGTTGTAACTGTTGTCTTGATCATCGCAAAACAAGGAAAACAATAAGATTTAAGGGTTTTTTCTCTAAATTCTCAGCTTTCCTTGCTCCACTAAACACACCAATTTCTAATTAGATATGTGAGTAATCTGTGTCTAGTCTAAAAGCATTACTTACACTCCTCTGTAAGCTGCAGGTTCTTCTACAATCTTAACAGGAACATTCTTAGCTTTAATGGTTAAAAATCCTGAAAAGCATAACAAACATTGCCAACGATGCCAAAGGCAATGTACCTGTACTTTGGATAAATGCGTTTACATGCGTTTAAACTAATTAAGTATTTTTTTTTATAAATTATGCAAAATTAAATAATGGTTTGCATAAGAATGCTACAATATCCAATTATTTTATCCTTTTTCTTTACTTTATGTAAGCCTAATTTTTCAAGTAACAAAAAACAAATCTTTCTGTATTGAGTTCAATTTAATGCTGGGAAATGATTTTTTTTCTCGCCAATTTATACCAGAAAGAAATTAGACATAAAATATTAATGAATGCAGAAGTAAAACTTACCTAAAGGAGCATAAAAGACTAAAATCATGAAGAAATATTTSATGAACTTTTGAATCAACTCGTCCGCCATCTTTGTTTTGATCAAATGAGTCAGCYGAGTAGTTGACCACAGGAGGCCCAAGCTAGTAGGAAACGACTTCCGGGTCCAAAACAAACTCAAAACTCACGTAAGCACTTCCATAATACCAATTTTTTTGCTTTTCTTCATGAAATAATTCATTTTCTAAAGTCCTAATWGTTTCAGGTAGATTTTAAACCATTGAGAAAACATTTTGCTTTACTTCGGCGGTTTTTGCGAACATTTGGACCCGGRAATACGTCACAACTTKWKARC